ACTATAGACCAGTAATGGTTAATTTTACTAGTTAGTTTTAGAGGTATGATGTGAGTTAAGTTTTGGTTAGGTTAGGGTTAACTATAGACCAGTAATGGTTAATTTTACTAGTTAGTTTTAGAGGTATGATGTGAGTTAAGTTTTGGTTAGGTTAGGGTTAACTATAGACCAGTAATGGTTAATTTTACTAGTTAGATTTAGAGGTACGATGTGAGTTAAGTTTTGGTTAGGTTAGGGTTAACTATAGACCAGTAATGGTTAATTTTACTAGTTAGGTTTAGAGGTATGATGTGAGTTCAGCTTTGGTTCAGGTTAGGGTTAACTATAGACCAGTAATGGTTAGTTTTAGGGAAAATGTCTGGGTTAGACATAAATAGTTACAAAAATGAATGGAAGTCAATACAATGTCCTCAGTTTGATGCAATTACAAGGATGTGTATGTGTGTGTGTGTGTGTGTGTGTGTGTGTGTTTGTGTGTGTTCCAGGAACATTACCTTCATCTTCCAACAGTACAGGTGTGTGTGTTTACAGGTACACACGGGTCAGTGAATTCATCTCATTAAAGTTCATCCTGAACTGAAACACAGGAGGTTAATGTTCACACCCCCAGGGACTTCTGGGAATCTACAGGAAGCACCGTACAGTTAATCTGTTTGTACTTGTTATAATTACTCCTCTGGTTAATCTGTCTCTGTCCAGGCTGCGCAGTGAAGGATTATGGGAACCTGGAGTTTGAGGAGGTGACAGAGGACGAGCCGGTCCGGGGTTCCAGCAGGGTTCGGGCCGTGGGCAGCGCCAACCACAGGCTGTCGGAGGCGGTGCAGGCGGTGAAGAAGGACGGACACACAGCCGTGATGCTGGGAGGGGACCACAGGTCAGTCAACAGGAAGTGACACGATCAATGAGACACAGTTTGACAAAGGATTTGTCTGTTTCTGAACTCGTGTCCTTCAACAGGTCCTTTAAAGGCTGAAGACGTTTCTTTAAATCAAAGATCAAACTGACGAAAGGTTTCTGTCTTCAGTCTCGCCATAGGATCGATCCACGGTCACTCTGCTGCTGTCGGACCGCTGAGCGTCCTGTGGGTCGACGCCCACGCCGATGTCAACACGCCGCTCACCTCCTACACCGGGAACCTCCACGGGCAGCCAATGTCCTACCTGCTGCATGAGCTCAGGTCGAAGGTAAGCTCCTCCCCCTGACCTACCTGCTGCATGAGCTCAGGTCGAAGGTAAGCTCCTCCCCCTGACCTACCTGCTGCATGAGCTCAGGTCGAAGGTAAGCTCCGCCCCCTGACCTACATGCTACATGAGCTCAGGCAAAATTAAGCTCCTCCCCCTTCCC